TCCTCCTCCTCCTCCTCCTCCTCCTCCTCCTCCTCCTCCTCCTCCTCTCTGCAAACCCCACTCCTTTCTAGCACTGATGATATTATCTAGCTGGGTAACGAAACATCTGCAGGAAGATCACCAAACTCAACAGAGCTCCAAAGACCCCACTGTTCAACCCTGAGCTGCAGAGATCCTCTGCCTTTGACGTGGATTGGATTGTAATGTTAGCTCCTAGACATAACTACATGAACGAAGCCCAAGAACGTAGGGCTGAAAGCACTGTGTCGTCACCCAACGTCCTCTTGACATTTCAGAAATCTTGGGGGCGGGGGCGGGGGGGGGGCACAGCCCGGTTAGAATTCCAAAAAACCTTAGGGAAAGCAATGGGACCAAAGTATCAGCTCCTTACAAGGCAGGGCAGGGGAAGAGATTGCAAGGTTCCTCTTCTGGGGTGGGCTTGGAGTTGATGTCACAGGAGCTGTCAGCCGCCTCCTCGTGAGTGTTTCTGTGCACGCAGCGGAAGATGGGATACTGTGCTCCTGAAAGGAAAAAGACCAATAGAGCAAGAAGCTCTGAAAAATCCATGGAATGACAGACACACGCAGGGAGTCCTGTACGGGATGAGTTGGTTTCTTCTGTGTTCAATTGACTTCACCCTGAATTCCCATAAACATCCCAGTTCAGAAACCGTAAATAAGAATAGGTCAAGGAACGCTCGCTAAACATATGCCAAGTTAAATCAATGTCACCTACAGCGAAAGAGTCTCTTTCTCCCTGTCCTTCTCTTTTTCCTTCTCTCTTCCTCTCCCCCCCCGCCTCCATCTCTCTCTCCCTCTTTCTCCTTCTCTCTCTCCCTCCCTCCCTCCCCTTCCTCCATTTCTCTCCCTCTCTCCCTCTCTTTCTCCTTCTCTCTCTCCCCCCTCCCTCCCCCTCCCTCCTCCATCTCTCTCTCTCTCCCTCTCTCTACCCCATCGTGTGTGTGCGTCTGTGTGTCTGTGTGTCTGTCTGTCTGTCTGTCTGTCTGTGTCTGTGTCTCTGTGTGTTTAATCCAGTTTTGTTCCCCAAAGAGAATCAACAGGCCAACAAGCAACGAAAACATCTTTCTGAGTTTCAGCCAAGAGCTGTGAATCTGATTAAGAGAACCGCTTTTAGGTCACCGTAAATGTCTCTTTAAGAGTCTAAAAAGAAAAAAAAATGTTGGTTCTTCGCTTGATTTGGCTGCAAAAAGCTGCAGGGCTCTTCCACCCTGGACTGCGGACCTCTGTTTGAAAAGAAACAACCGCCACAACAAAACCTCGCACAATTGGAACCGGTTTTAGTAAGACTGTGAGCAAACTCCAACTCCACAGCAAACTCCAAGACCAATAAACACAGACCAAGACTTCCAACCAATCAGGATGAAGAAAAAAACCATTCTGGCACAGCAATAGGCTAGCCCCAAATTTAAAACTGAAACAACTGTAAAAGTCTGACTCACAGACGAACTCAATACAGAAGCCTGATGATGGCAGATGAGATTCTGCCGAAACGTTGCTACAACTTTAAAAGCACAACTATAATGACGTGGGAAAATACCCGAACAAAGCTGAATATCAGATAGATAGATAGATAGATAGATAGATAGATAGATAGATAGATAGATAGATAGATAGATAAATAGATAGATAGATAGATATATTTATATGGTATTCAGCTTTGTTCGGGTATTTTCCCACTGTGAGAAATTATATATATGTATATATATATATATATACACATACGTATGTATGTATATAAAGAAATATATATAATTTCTCACAGCAGTCCTTGGAACCAAGCCCTCTTCCTGAATTTAAACCAGAGAAGTTTCTCTGCATTGCCAATTTCTCCAGGGCAGGAATCTGGACCAAGTTGGATTGTCTCCCCAGTCAAAATATGACATGCTCTTGAATCCAGGCCAACTGCAAAGTAGATTTTGACAACAAGGTTGCAGTTCTCACCAGACAAGGAGGAACCTTGAAGGCTGTGGAACATTGGGAGCATTGTGCAAGATGCTCAGTGATGAAATGCAAGGAGCTTTGTGAGAAGAGTGTCAACTCAGAGCGGTAGTGCAAGGCCTACTTAATTAGGTTCAAATTTGACCAGGGTTCAAATGATCCTACTCTGGACATGTGATATGAAGGCCCAACTCTCTGGAGGAGACTTGGAAGGTTGCTGAACTCACAACTCTCAGAATCTCCCCACGTGGGCCACGCTGGCTGTGGCTTCTGGAGGTCTTATCTCGGTCACTTATTGTCAGCTATGTCAACTCATAGAATATTTCTCTAGTCTTTTTAGAATTGCCAACTGAAAGGGACAGGGGAGCGGTGCAGCAGCTTGCAAACCGAAACTGCATTCCATAAATGTTTTCAAAGATAGTAACCAGGTGACTGAAGTTACTGCCGCGCAAAGATCTAACTGGAGAGCATGATTGATGACTTTTGGCTATGGAGGTGTCCCATTGGAGAAGATGAATTACTGTATGATACACCCAGGGGGTGAGGGGAAAACCAGGGTCAAGGGTGACTGAATTATGTGCCTCAGAGTCAGCTGCACCCCAGGCAGTGCCTGACATGTTCACTCCTAATAAATCCTTTTAAAGTTTTGGAAGTTTGGCTCGAGACTCATGATTTAATTGGGGGTAACCGTCGGAATCCTGACAAGTTACTTATTCATGTCTTAGACCCTGGGCACCGCAGAACGAATGAAGCCAAGCTGTCCATTCAGTGTGTGTGTTTTATTTTTCCATCCCCTCAAATTCTCACGAGGTATTTCCCAAGGTCCTTTCATTCACAGCGCAGGATTGGTGGAGTCGGGAGAGGAATTGGCTTTCCCAGTTGGTCCTGCTTGACAGGCCATGAAAAAACCAGGCCCGATTTACTCACAAAGGAAATGAAAAGGGAAGTTTCTGCCAAAGCCAAATGCAATATATTCAGCGGTGTACTCAACCAGGAAACCTTCCTGCTTCCCAAAAAGCTAATTTGCAATCATTTTGCTTCGAGGGCTATTTTTCTCCTCCAGAGTGAGTGAGTTTACAGAAAATACGGAAGTTTTGGCCAGCCTCCACAATTCCTCTTCTGCTATAGTTTCCTCTCTCAGCATGCTGCTTCTATCAAAGCCATAAAAAATATCCCAGGGGCTAGCAAATCTTATTTTCACAGCCACCAACGTTCCCAAGAATGACCAACCGAGGAACTCAAGGGACAGGGCATGACCGGGGAAAGGAAAACCTGCCCCAAAGTCTTTGGAATAGGCAGCTTCCTTGGATCCAAAATGTGGACAATTCTGGCAGCTGCTTTGGATTTGGCCAATGGGGACAGAGAGGTAGCTCAGCCTTTCCTTTCTAGGAAGGTTGCAAAGCTTCCATTCAAGCGTTGGACCCTTGGCCAAGAAGGGAATTCTTCACCTCAGGTCTGAAAAAAAAAGAAAAATTTCTAGAAAGACCTAAACTTCAAATGAAATTACATCATCAGGAAACTTTCCCAGCAAGGAATTTCTTGAAATTTTTCCTCGTGAAGTCAACCTTCAGTAACGGAGATGATTTTACCTTCAGTAAATTAGATGACTGCAGAAAAAAAACAGCTACTGCCAACCTGCCTTCCATGGAGGACCTGTATCCTGCACGAGTCAAAAAAAGGGCTGTGAAAATATCTACAGACCCCTCAGATCCCAGACATAAAATTGTTTCAACTCCTTCCCTCAAAACGATGCTATAAAGCCCTGCACACCAGAACAACTAGACACAAGGGGAGTTTTTTCCCTAACGCCTTAATGTTTAACTCTGCTAAACAAATAATTCCCTCAACACTGTCAAACTATTTACGAAGTCTGCACTACTATTACTGTTAATCTTCTCATCACTCCTTACCACCCGTCTCCTCCCACTTGTGACTGTATGACCGTAACCTTGTTGCTTGTATCCCAATGATTTTTATTGACTGTTTCCTAGTATGATTTGATTGCTTATTGTACCCTATGACTATCATTAAGTGTTGCACCTTATGATTCTTGACTCTTGACGAATGTATCTTTTCTTTTATGTACACAGAGAGCATTTGCACCAAGACAAATTCCTTGTGTGTCCAATCACACTTGACCAATAAAGAATTCTATTTGGGAGGGGAAATGTCAGCTGGCATTGGGAGGCCCTGAAGATATCCCAAATATTAAGAAAGGGAGATCTGACACTGTTTGGTGCTCCAACATGGTTGGTCTTTCGTAAGGCTTTAAAAACTTGGCTATGTACCCAAACCTGTGGATCAGGATCTGCTGAGGGCCCTGTTTCTTGATCCCACCATTAATTGTTTAACTATGTTGGCTGCTGTTTGTGTGTCTTTTCTGCCTGTTTTCATTATTTTAACTGTTTTAGAATTCTAGAGTTGGAAGCCACCCAGAATCACTTGGCAGAGATGGACAGTTATAGAAATTGAATAAATAAATGATTCAAGAGCTAAATTCTCCACCTCCTCCACTTCTGGCCCTTGGCAGATGGAAGCCTTTGTAAGGTCAGATCGGTGAGTTCTCCGCTACAAACCTTTCCCACAAGTCGCGCTGCATTCGGTTGTTCCAATTTGCTTCCAGTTATGTTCCCGGCTACGTCGCGGAGGCTGGCCAACCGGGACTTGGTTGTCTGGAACTTGGGAAGGAAATCTTGCAGGCTGACTCATCCCTGGTTGTCTTGGGTGACTGCTCGTCTCCTGATGCAAATCTTCCTCCTCATAATTCACAGTTTCTGTCACGTCCAGTTGGCCATTGAATGGCTCCCCTAGGCACATGAGGTCAATCACATCACAAGAAGGAACATTTCTTTCTCAGCCCTGAGCTAGCCAGAATACAAACGGCCCCGAGCTCCTCAGGACTTGGGGGGTGGGGACGACCAGCTAAGTTCAGAGGTTTCTTGTAGCAGTGAACCACAAAGCACCAGGATGGTTTTGAAAGATGCAAAGGCCATGAACTGTTTAGAATAAGATATTCTATTTGTCACCAGGCTGAAAAGTTGAACGTTTGTTCTTTGACTGATCTTACAATAGCGCAGAGCATTCTGTTAAAGCATTCTGGCGTGAAGCAACAATGGGAAACACACCAGCTAAATAGCTGGCAATTAAGGGGGAAAGAATTGGTGTGAGAAAAAAATGTGCTCTTTATTCTACCCCAAAATTGGGAGAAAGACGCAATTTATGAAAATACACTGAGAAGTTGGGTAGAATTTTTTTAAAAAGGCCTTTTTCCCTAGTCCTATTCCCCCCACCCTCTGTATTTTCCATGAATAAAATCTGTTTTATCTATAAGGATAAAAATTCCTTTTGCATGTAGAGAATTGTGCAGAAATATCCAGAAAGACCACAGAATAACCTTTCGGAAGCATTTAATTCTTTCACAGAGTGTAGGTGAAACAAACAAATAACCTTGGAAAAGCTAGAGAAACCACACCTGGTGCATTGAGCAGGTAGATGAGTTTCCTAGAAAATATCTTTTGATAAAGCTATCGAGTTTGTGGTACCCTAAAAGCAACAATGACAAGTGTGATGTCTATGGAGATTCTCCGTCATCCAAGTCATGGTTGTCCCGAAGGGGCTTTTTCAAAAAGAACTGGACTTTGTTTTTCATTGAAGACATTTTGCTTCTCGTCCAAGAAGCTTCTCCGGTTCTGATTCAACTGGAAAAAAGCTTCAGAACTAAAGAAGCTTCTTGGATGAGAAGTGAAATGTCTCCAAGAAAAAAAAAAAAACAAAGCCCAGTGGGACAAATGTGATATTTTCTTTTTAAAGATAGTTTTACGGGATGCATCAAAGAAAACCCTTTGCTGCCATTAAAAGGATGGGAAAATGCCTTAAGAAGTCCCTGCAAATCAAGACAAAGTGAAAATCGTCTTACCTGGCCGTCTGTGAAGAGGCACCTGGGAACTGATAGTGTTGGGACCTGGAATAATGTACTCATAATGTATACCTGGATTGGGCTGTTGATGAATCATCTGTGAAAGGAAGAAAAGCCTCACATTCATTGAGTTGACTCCAACGCACGAACCCAGGTAGACCAGATCAGGAAACCAACTCCACAAAAAGATGTAAACTACAGGTAAATCTCATTTAGCAACCACAGTTAGGACTGGGCACTTGGTTGTTAAGCAAAACAGACATTCTTATCCCTGGTGGTGATCTTAAGGACATTAACTCCATTAAAAAAAATGTAGCTTTATTCATCTTCACATTTTTCTGCCCCCTTCTCAAGTCCAGAGATAGGAAGCACATAGGTTTAGTAAATAAAATAAAATAAAATAAACAAATGTACCCATCAAGAGACTAGGAGTCAGAACTGCCACTAAGTTACATTTAGGAAGTTCCATGCTTTTCCATCCTGACTTCACTCTACTGTATTTCACTTGATCTTTAGTAAACTATAACTTTCTTAACAAATGGAGTTAAGGATCGTTCTTGCTTAAAGGTTCAAGTTGAGACAAGTCTGACCCTACATTATAAATGAATAAACACACACACACACACACACACACACATACCTGCCCAGGTCTCTGACTTCCTTCTCAACATATCCAAATGAAAAATTAACCTAGAAAACGATTTTATCCATGAGTAAATGATTTCCTAACTTCTAATGGTTGAGGATGGTTTCTCTAGTTCAATAAAGAAACAAAATTATTATCTGAAATCTTTGACTCTTACATAGACATCCAAGATTTCATTGGTTGGGCCATCTGCTAAAAAGGATTCCCCAGCAGTACTTGAGATCTCGTTGGGCCGTTTATAGACAAACATTGTTCCTCCTCCTTCGTATCTCCCAGGTCGATCAATTGCCCAATTCCCATTGATAATGGCACGTCCTGATCGACTCCGTAGTGCTGTAGGAACAACGAGAAGAAAATATGAATGAAAGTAAAGAATTAAAGAAAGCAATAATTAAAAGCAAGGTGGACAGTTACAGTGGTGATGAGCGTCCCATCGGGAGACCTGGAAGAGCAAATTAGTAATAGACCATCATGGAGAAAATCCATCTCTGTGGTTGTGAGGATTCAACAATAACATAATCGTGAGCCACAATCTTTCAGGTAGAGTGGATGCTTGAATTTAGTAAGAGTAACCTTTCAAGTATCTGCTTGTTGTCCTTAATACTACTATCATCTCTTGTGAACTGTCCATGGTACTGACTTTACCATTCCTACTGTTTTTAGTTCTACCTTCTTCTGTCCTACAAGACTAGATCCAACTATTTCTTGGATGGAAGGTGCTTATAAGGATAGGCAAATGGTTTTGCCCAGTATCTCAAATCTTTCCTTCTATAAATGGTTCCGCTTAACTTTGCACATCTTTACACATTTCCCCAGGAAGCTTCTTATCATGATAGGAGCTTATGGATCTCATAAGGTATGCATTTCTTGATGAGTCATTGATGAATTTTCTCCTTTTCAGCACCAGAACTTCCGATGGTGCTGAGACAGCTACATATATGGACCATGGATGATCCTTCCATCATTGTCGTAGCTGAACCAGGAATCAGAAAAAGAGAAAATAGAAGCACAACTATAATGGGAAAAAGGTTATCTGGTACAACAGTTACTATGCAAGGAAAGTGTTTTGAGTCCAACACTTATCACCTCTCAGTAAAACTATAAATATTTGTGCTTGAAGGTCTCAAAAGTTTTTCTCAATTAATCTTTCTAAGGCCACATTCCCTTAAACGGAATCACTTCTTAGTGGAAGTTGAAATAAATCTTTGGGCGTTTCTGGTGATAAACCCAATCACTGGAAGATAAGATCATGAACAAAAGCTCTCTTCTATAGACTTCAATCCGACGTGGGGAAAACAGCATCTTTCATCTGTAGGAAAAACCCATAGCTGAATTTCTTATTTCTCCTAATTTTGTTAGGAAAGGAGGAATCGCATATTGTCCAAGGCAGGGATTATCACCAGCAAATTGCCAGTTATATTCAGTGCAGTGGCAAGCTTTTAAAATTGATGCTAGATATGTAGCGGCGGGTATATGCTTGTATATGGAGCTAGGATTCAAAAGTTAATAATGAAATTTTGCAGAGATATTCTGTATCTGAAAGCCAGAACACACATCAACATCTGGTTGTGTAGTCATCACAGATTAAGCTTGTCAATAGCAATCAGCAAATTGTTCTCTTCAAATATTTGGACCTGAAGTTCATTTGAGACAGACTTCACGGGCAGAAATAGCCGATGAGAAGATCCCCATATTTCATCTGAAACAAAATTACCTCTAGATAACTTTTCACCTCCCATCTTTAATTCTCCTTTTGAGATCTCCCTGCATCGTTCAGCCTGCAACTTACCCTTCACTTACGAGGCTTACAAAATTCATTCCATCTGAATTACAAGATGACGTTTCCCAGAAAAGCAGATCTTGATACATAAAGTAGTACGAACAATCTTGAACTGTGCAATCTCGGAATCGTGCAAACCATGGTATTCCCGCGCGAGTCTCTATGGAAGCCCCAAATTGGACTTAGTTAAAAAGCACGATAGGAAGGTTATTGATGCCTTTAAACTTTGAACTTGGAGAAGACTGCTGAAAATACTATGGACAGCCAAGGAAATCAATTCCCCACCTTTGCTCTGGCTCGGTTTTAAATCCTCTGAGCCACACAGAAAAATAGGTGATGAGAGTGAAATATTTTACAATTAATAGAATAATGACTGCAGGGGCACATCGTTCCTTCACTGTTAGTCACTCTCTCCCAGCACTGTCTTCCTGCCTTTAGGCTAAAATATTCTTGCTTATTTGGGCAAATATATTTGTTTATCTGTTTGTTTGGTTTTTTAGATTGAAAAACCTCACCATTTCTTAAACCGCCATTGCATTCTGCATTGTGTTGTATACTGGCTGTGTTGTATTGTGCATTTTGGGGGAATATGGAGACATTTAACTTGGACTCAAACCATAAACCCCAAACCAAGACGCAATCTGACCATGACCCCAACATTCTTCAACTTACACACAGAGATAGGGGTCCGTTTCCCCACCGCAATATCTGCACTTTTCAGATTGTGCAATTTGGAGATTGCACAAAAGAAGTGCTTGCGATACGGAGACAAATAAGGTGTTGAAAGCTTGGCAAGGCAGGGGCAGCAAATGCCACAGAGAAGGGCTTTGTCCCTGAGTAGATTAAATTATCATCAGATTCTTTCTTGTTGCTTAAACACTGGCTTTCCAAAGAGCAAACCAGCAGGACATTTCTGAAAACTTACACTTCATCACCAATGCTTGGAAAACCAGCTGATTTCTTGAGAAAGGCAGTGTCTGCATTGTTTGGAAATGGGCTTTAGAGAGAGAGAAAGACATTTTTTTTTTATTCCCTTTATGAATGGGAAGCTGCCAAAGAGAGAGGAGGGGGAGTGATATTTGAACAGCATGAGAACTATTCAAGGGGTAGACCATTGTCCATCTGGGACATTGAGTGATAAAACTGCTAAACCCTGCAAGATGGAGAATTCCCATTTCACACTGTTCAAATGAAAACCCTTGATGAGTTTTTACGCCGGGGAGAAGGGGAAATGTTGAACAATGTAGTCTCTTTTCCCTGTAAAATCAGTAGCTATGCTGGAGGGGGAAAAAAATGGGCTGAATTTCCAAATTGTGAATCAGAATTGCAAATGAGGAAAGAGACAGGTTAACTACTTAGAATAGGGCCAGCTCTCTTCCAAAGAGAGTTAGCCAAGGAATTCAGTAAACCCCCCACCCTAACTTTCTGCAATATTGGTGTTAATAAAGGCAAATAATTCTTGACTTACGACCACAATGGGAATCAGAATTTCCTTTGCTAAGCAAGGCTGTTATAAGTGAGTTGTCCTGATTTTATTTTATGAAAGTTCACCAGACTCTCTGGTCCGGACCTTCATTTCCACCCGAAAAATTGCTTGCTACATATTTGTTACAGAAGAAGACGATAATTTAAACCTGCTCCGAAATCCCTGAACTGTTTTGTTGACTCAGCTCCACCCTTTCCTCTTCAAAGAACTCTCGGTCCCCTCCTGACAACACCTGATTCCTGAGCATCAGGAAACGCATGGAAAGGCACCCCGACATAAAAACAATGGAAGGGAAGAGGACATCTTTTTCAGGAAGGCTCCTAAGCAGATGGAAGCATATGAATGTAATTTCTGATTTGGTCACTTAATCCAGCTAAATTCACGAGCTGTGCTGGGACCAAGGGAATTGGCTGATGCCTCTCCAACTTGAAAACATGTTCTGGAGTTTTATGAAAGTCGTTAAAAATATTTGCAATATTTGTTTCCCTGAATGGAATGCAATACATTATTGGGACCTGGGAGTTTCTTCTGAGAGCTGTTTGAGAGAACCAACTCCAAAATGGGATGATGGTCTTCTTGGAAAATGTACAACGGACCAACCCAGGAAAAAAAAAAATGAATCTGGATGAGGTATTATCCAAAATCCAAGAATGAGGATGAAGGAAAAGAAGACGAGATACGTCTTATGGGAAACGTGGAGGTGGCATTACTCAAGAAGGAGGAGGAAGAGAAGACAACTGGTTGAGCCAACATCGACACATCGCCGTATCTTAGGTCAATCCTTGCATCCTCAAAGAAAAAGCAGGGATACCTCCCCCTACCTACATGTGAAGGCCGAGGGAGGTATCACTTGTATACCTTCTTCCTTCCAGGTTCTGCAGATGTTCTGAGGACCACAGTTCAACCCAGATGGAGGACACCAGACGGGAAGGCTGTCCCTGAACATCGCTGAAGTTTCAGGTTGTCTACAAGATATCATGGACCGGAAGGAGGCCACAGGGATCATCAAAAAAAAAAAAGCTAACTGGAAACGAGTCAGTGGACTCAACGGCTGCATTTAGGCGAAGCCAAACGGTCAAATCCAATTAAATGCAGCTCTATTTTTAAACTGTAATCAAGCCTTTCAAAAAAAAATAAAAAAGCTAACGGGAAGATTTACTAATTGAAGTCTTTATCCCTAGGATGCAATATTACTTCTCCTGCAAGGTTTCTTGAAAGGGGAGTGGAGAAGTCTCTAAATCTCGAATCAGTCGCGTTGCCTTGTTACATAATTCAAGGGAAGAGCTTAAGAAATTCAAAAGAAGGATTACGATGGGTTGTTGTTTTTTAATTGAGAATGTGAGGAGTCACAGTAAGGCTGGACACAGTCAAAGTGGGACTTAGCATACAAATGAAGAATCAAGTTGGCGCATCCATGATGCCCTCGGAAAGTTTCTTCTAACCGCTTGCCAAATTGCAGAATCAGAGAAACTGGATTTATTATTATTATTCCTTCAGGGTAGTTTTTTTTTTTTAAACTATTCCTGATCTGTACAGGAATTATATCAAGTTTCCAGGTTCAGGAATTGGCTGGTGAAAACCAGAGGTGGTATTCAGCTGGTTGTGACCTGTTCTGGAGAACCAGTAGCAGAAATTTTGAGTAGTTGGGAGATCCAGCCAATCCCACCTCTGACTGGCTCCGCCAACCCCATCTATTCTCTGCCTCCAGAGTCCCAGCTGATCGGCCGGGTCTTCTTTGGTTGCCCTGCCCAGGAGAATGGAGCTGGAAAGCAGGTTAGTGAGCCGGGGAGGGAATGGGATTTTGCAGTACCCTTCCCCTGCCACGCCCACCAAGTCATGCCCACCAAGCCATAGAACCCACAGAACCGGTAATAAAAAAATTTGAATCTCACCACTGGTGAAAACCTCAATAATACAAATGTTGCTTCCAGTATTTAGAATTCCTTCAAAGTTTTGAGAGCTATAAAGTTTCTCCCATGTCCCACATCTGGACCATAAACTTGTTTTCCTTCTCCACGGATCTCCACTGTCTCCAGATCTATTATTTGGACTCTAATCTGAGTATAG